GAGAGAGAGAGAGAGAGAGAGAGAGAGAGAGAGAGAGAGAGAGAGAGAGAGAGAGAGAGAGAGAGAGAGATGTGATGCTTGGGCTGTGTGTGCTAATTACGAGTAGATGATCGTTCGTTATCTTTGTTTCGTGATTGCAGTGGTCTTTGCGTGAGGGATAAATCTTGAGCGACTGGGGGCGGCGAAGCTGTAAGCTCGCGTTAGCTCAGAATTTCGTCCCTGTGAAGCACTGGTCTTCCTTGTTTGCTCCCGGCGGGGGGGGTTGTGTTGGGTCTCTATCTACCTGCGCCTTTTCTTCAATCCTCGTTGGTCCATATGGGGGGCCCGCCGGAGGGCGACGAGAATGACTCGCCCACTGCTCCTACTACCACTATTACGAGCACGTGTGCCCTTCACGACCATCTCTCTTCTATCTGGTACCATTTCCACGACACGACCTTAGATAATGGCGCGCTTGGACGTGCTGCAGCAGCAGGAGCAGGTTATGCCAGCACAACTGAGCTGGCAGGAGGAGCGATCCGTGTCGGGTTCGCCCCCGTGGAGGCTGTGATTGCGCGAGGCACTTATCGCTCGATGAGGGCGCCTTTCGACGAGGAGTTGGCAGTGAAGGAGGTGCCACGTCATTATTTCTGCATAATCTGCGACCAGCTGATGTCAGAGGCGGTGGCGGCGGTACCTTGTGGGCACGAGTTCTGCTCGGCATGCCTGCGATACTTCAAGGAAAAGTCGGTGGGCGAGCCGCTGTGCCCGATCTGCCGCCAAGACATGGCTAGCATGCCTCTTCCCGCGCGACGCACGCGTGACATGATCTCTCGGCTGAAACTTCACTGCCCTTTCGGATTGTCTTTCGACGTGGCGCGCGGCAGCTTCGTTCCCCTGCTGACCGTCGACGACGTCGTCCGTGCCGCGGCGGGAAACTTCTGTACAGAGATTCTCGAGCTCAGCCGCATGTGGGAGCACGTGGTTAACTGCCCTTCCCGACCGGTGGGCTGCTCTCATCAGAACGAGGGCTGCCGCGAAGTGGTGCGCTTTGCGTCGCGGGAACACGATCGTGTCTGTCCTTTCAATTCCCGATTTTGCCGAGTTTGTGGTTATGGGATTACCGAGGGGGAGAGCTTAGACGAGCATGAGAAGTACACGTGTCAGGCTGTCGAAGTGGGTTGTCCGAACGCCAATCTCGGTTGCAAGGAGCGGATCGCTCGCGGGGACTTGGCGGCTCATCGCAAAGTGTGTCCATTCGAGCACCCGGCGGTCAAGGAGGCTATTCTTTGCGCCGTCAAGCGGAAGAATGGTCTGGAAGTCCGCCTCGAAGGTCTGGATCGGGACCTGCTGATGGAGAGAGACGAGGCCTTGTTTCACCGTGTGCTGGCGGAGTCGCTCGAAGGACAGGCGGAAAAGATGCGGCGGTGCACCAAAAAGTCGGGCAGCGGTTCGGCCGTGGAAGGTGCGGAACCCAGCAGACGGCACTCGCTCGGGTCGTCTAAACCGTTCAGCCTAATCGCGCGGTGTTTCGGCGGCGCGGCTCCTTCGCCAAGCAGGCAAGTACACTGGAAGGCATGATTTGCGCGGGAAGGAAGTGTGTTGATGGTGGTGGAAGCGCTGATCTCTGTGGAGGGGCGGGAACAGCTGTGTGTGTGCATGTGTCTGGCGGGGCTCGGGTCGTCTAAACCCTTCACAGCCTAATCGCCCGGCGGCGTGGCTCTTTCGCCAAGCATGCAAGTACACTGGAAGACATGATTTCGGCGGGGAGTGTTGATGGCGGGAAGGAAGTGTTGATTGTGGAAGCGCTGATCTCTGTGGAGGGGTGGGAACAGCGGTGTGTGCTTGTGTCTGCCGGGGCTCGGGTCGTCTAAACCGTTCACATCCTAATCGCTCGGCGGCGTGGCTTTTTCGCCAAGCATGCAAGTACACTGGAAGGCATCATTTCCGCGGGAAGGGAGTGTTGATGGCGGGAAGGGAGTGTGTTGATGGCGAGAAGGGAGTGTGTTGATGGCGGGAAGAGTGTGTCGATGGCGGCGCGGGAAGGGAGTGTTGATGGCGGGAAGGGAGTGTTGATGGCGGGAAGGGAGTGTGTTGATGGCGGGAAGGGAGTGTGTTGATGGCGGGAAGAGAGTGTGTCGATGGCGGGAAGGGAATGTGTTGATGGCGGGAAGGCATTGTTGATGTCGGGAAGGCATTGTTGATGGCGGGAAGGGAGTGTTGATGGTGGAAGCGCTGATCTCTGTGGAGGGGCTGGAACAACTGTTGTGCTTGTGTGTTGCTGGGGAGGAAGGAGGGTGGGGGGTGTAGAGTTCTGTGGATTTGAAGAAGAAGAAACAGGGCGTGTCGGTGCACTGGTGAGCGGCGGCCTGGTATGGTATATTACTTAATCAAATGTGAGAAAGGGTGGTCCGAATTACCGTGCGTTTCACATTGCAGTTTACGTGTGATTGCGATCGAAGTCGTGTGAGATGACTGGGACGGTGAGGCGGGGGGAAAAGAGACACTGGAGAACGAATGAAGCGTAGCGCACCCGAGATGGGGGAGAGAATGGGAGAGGGAGGCGATGAATGCTCTGCTGTGCACTGGTAACGGTGGTTGTCGTGATGCGCCCACCAGCCTTCTGATGATATGTTGATAGTCTATAGTCTATTGTGTCAGCGTTCGGAGTTACTCTGCAAGTAGATCGGCATGTGTGTGTGTTCAATAGATGGAAGAGGAGAAATATCGACGTAGGTAAACAGTTCGAGAATCCGGCAGGTAGACGGGAGCGCTTGGGGAATGATCACGTGAGAGGAGAGGATGGAGGAGGAGGAGGTAGTGTGGAGAACTGGTTGTCTGATCACTCTGCCTGCGCGGCCATGTGGTTCGGGCACCCCGAAAGAAATGGAGGACGTGCCTGCGAGGCTACGTGCTTCCGGCGCCTTTTGACAAGAGGAAGAGAGAAAAGGAGGCGCCTCTTGACGAGAGAGCAAGAGGTAGAAAAAGGAGCTCGACGGCGGAGTCTGCACGACCATGAAAGTGCGATGAAGGCGGTATTGGCCACTGTGATTGTGTTCGCATATGTGTGTGTGTGTGTGTGTGTGTGTGTGTGAGAGAGAGAGAGAGAGAGAGAGAGAGAGAGAGAGAGAGA